TGGAGCACGGTCTTTTGTTACAGGGCCCAATTTCCTTAGTCCGAGTTTGGAGACCCCAGCCACGTATAAAGCATACATCTCCGATTCCAGAGTTCCCGGCAGGAAGTGGTTAAGGTCATGCCAGTAACTAGTTCGAGGCATTAAATCACCTTGCCAGCAACCGCAAGTGAACACTACTGACCCACTTAGTGACAAGAGCCTCCAATGTTCCGCGGTGATAAATTATTTGAAGCTGCAATTTATTTTGCCTCAAATTGATTATCGCATAGATAAGAAAACCATTAAATACAGTGTGTATCAAGCTGTTACTTATTTTCCTTCATATGGTAAGTCAAGATAAATTATATGTGTCAGGTCACATGGGAGGTTTCTTGATTTTGTGTTATTTGGCATGGAATGACCCTAATAGGTTTTAATCTCAGTATTGGTCTTGGGACCTAAGGGCCCCATTTAGATGTCTGTCTGCAGACTTGATCCAACTCTCAACTTTCAGTTACAACCACTTTTAAATTAAAAAATTGTGGCATAATCTGTTGCGATATTTTACCTTTTAGTGCCTCAGACATGTCAGAACAAAGTGAAGCATAGCAGCAAAAATAATGTACAAAGGTTGAAATCATATCTGAAGTGTTTGAAATCACAAATTGTTGTTGTCTTTTCAGAATGGTTGTTCTGTCCAAATTGGATGGAATTGTCAAAGACTGGGTTCGAGAGATGTCTTTGAAAAGAAACATTCCATCCACTATAGCAGATACTGTTGGAGGGAAAATCTACACTTTTGGATCCTACAGACTAGGAGTACACACAAAAGGTACAATGTTAAACAGTGGTGCATTAATGATACAATAACAAATACATAATACTACAAATTACTACTTGTAGTAAAATTTAGGACTGAGCGCTGTCGCTTGTAAGAGGACATGACCTTATTGTTCTCTGAAGCCACAAGATACAATAGATAAGACAATGTACATGTACCATACAGTGCTGTGGCACTATGAATGCATGGCTTTATTGTTCTCTGTACAAGTAACAATGAAAGTAACCTAGCCAGAAGTAGTAATCTGTAGCGCTAGGTCCTTCAGGCTCAGACTATTACTTAGTATTTTGTTGTACTGAGTACTGTAAGCCAAACAATATGCTTGCCGATTAGGGTTAATAGCTACATGTGGATAGATTTTGTGGCTACCGATATGGTCATGCAGGCACAGTTCTAGGCTAGACTTTCTAATGTTTTAGCAATTACTGGTACATTGTCGTCAGATTAGCATGAATTTTTCTCATCCAAGCCTCATTGCAACAAAATGCAACACTATAACAGTGCACAATGATAAAAAGTTGCATTGCATTGAGATGTACATATACACATAAGCGGTACAGTTTTACATGTACATGTTTTTTACATGACATATCATGATGGGCAAAGGCATTTCAAGAAGGGTATAATGTCTGTGGAGGTGTGTGCAGTTTTGAATCTAGGTATTTTCTATTGGTAATGTCATGTACGCAAGAATGTTCAGAGACTTCAAAGGCACATGCATTTCTGCACACATCTGTATGAATCGAATGCTGACCGTTAAAAATCATGTAACTGAAAATCCTCTGTAGGTTGTTGTGTGTATTTAACTGCATAGTAAAAGTGTTAGTATTTGTTCACTGCGTCTCTACATCACACAATACAGCATTAGCAGGCTTCTCATTACATGTACATCTGTTTGGGTTTGGTACATGTACATGTACACCATACCTGTGTACCAGCAGGAGGTTGTTAGAATGTGGAAATAATGTTTGAGCCAGAATTTTGTAAAGTACAAATGTACACACATGTATGTACTGGCACATGTAGGAATGTAGAACAAGAAAGTGGGAATGTTGTACAGAAGTTGTCGTTGCTAAATTTTGTGCACGTGGCCCACAACGTACGGTACTGTAGCATGAAGTTGTAGTGACTATTTCCTTGCCAGTCTCTTAAATCTCCAAGGAATTATCAAATACCGGTACGTACATGTACAGTATAATACGGTTGAAATTCAATTACCAAAGCAATTTTAAAAAGGTATCAAAGCTTTTAATTGTTTAAATTATTTTTTTAGTTACAGTTTAGGGGAACTCGTGTAGATTGGTCATTTGTATGCTTCATGATTTTTAATTTCAAATTCAGTGCAGCAGAGATTTGACAGATATGCCATCATTTGAAGAAAAATAAAGCATTGTATATTGTAGCAGAACTTTTATGACAATAAAAAAAAGAAGATACATGCCAAATTGATTCACAAAAAATGATTGTGAGGCAGCTCAAAATTGGCTCCAAGTAAGACAAGCAAAGAGAGAAGATGTATACAGTGACACTTCAGGAAAAGAATGAAGTTGACTCATGTAGATGTACGTATACAATGTACATGTATGTACATGTACAGTGGGTACATGAGAAATCTAAGTACCGGCACATACAGTGTACATGTACATGCACCTACATGTACATGTAGGTTTTGGGTAATTCTGTTTTACACAAATTTATTTTTCATTCATTTACATGCAATGTACCTGTGAACTATGTGCTACAAAACTAAATATTACTATTATAACTAGACTGCATAAAGGTCTCAGCATTGTCTTGGTGAATTCAATCTTCCAGGTGCTGATATTGATACATTGTGTGTGGTACCTCGGCATGTGGATCGTTCAGACTTCTTCGGTTCCTTTCAGGAAATTTTAAGAGCCATGCCAGAAGTCAAAGATCTTCGGGTTAGTTTTCTTCGTTTTGTTGTTGGGTTTCTGTGTGTGTGCCTTGATTCTAATCTACATGTAATCATGTTAACCCATGTGCTAGAGTGACCCGCATGCTGAAGTGCATTGTGCACTGGACCCATGGTGAACCAGGCAAATCTACTTTTTGCTTTGTTTCAGATATTGAATTCCATGTCAAGGGGTTGATTCCGAACATCCCAAGGGATTAAATGATGTCTCAATATTTTTGCTCCTGTATACAATTGAACCTTGCTGTGGGATGTAATTTTTTATCTCATGGAGGCAAGCCACATTGCCTTTACTTGTAAGGCTCCACCAGATACAAATCACATGTATCATTAATTTCAGGAAGCATAGGGGTTCTTAGACACATTTGGTGAAATACCCCTCTATAATTTTCCCTTATCTGTGGTGTGTGCCTTGTGCATGCAGCACAAAAATTTCCTCGCATTGCGTGCAACACGTGGCAGAACACAGCTGAACTGACGTAGAGTGAAATTCTGACTCTCTGAAAACAGAAAGATCTTTGGGTGTGTTGTGAATACCTACATGTACATGTACACTATGATGACGATTATCATGCACTTAGTACACGCTTGATGAGGGTCAGAGTCCATACAATAGGAGTCAAGATTTCATGTGACACAGGGAAAGTGCTAAATACCAGTTTGTACTTTTATCATAAATTGGTACATTCAAGTATATTTTAAGGAAAAGCATGGAAGAATTGTTTTGAAAACAGAGCACACTGGCCGAAACGTCAAGTTTATACTCAATGGTCCTTTTAAGAACCATACCTCGTCCAAAAGAGATTGATTCCATGGTGTACCCGCAAACCTATTTCTCATGAAAACAATCATATTTGTGTTTCCACGTTGCACCTTCTGCGTAGGCCTATATGTTTGCACTGTTTTTTCTATTGAATGTACTTGTAAGATCTGACAGTCCACAACTGGAATACTTGTCTTTTGTGTAGGTCCAAGATGTCCTAACTAAAGATTGCATCTTCTGTTGATAAGCTAACTGATTCAGCGAGGATGCAGTGAGACACTCAATTTGTTAAAAAGCAAAAGAGTCTACACATAACAAGTTCTTTTCAATTCTTTTCCCATCTTTGCTTTTAGGCAGTGGAAGGTGCCTTTGTTCCTGTCATTAAAATGATATTTGATGGCATAGAGGTGAGTACATTATGCATGCAGTGCACACAAAACTCTTGTTTATTTAATTGAAGCTTAAATTTGTTAAAATGCATGGCAGTGATTGATACTTTTAAGGAAATAGCAGAAAAGAAGTTTTTCCATCTTTTGAAAATATTAGTTGCTACATGTTCATTTCATGATGTCAAAATCATGTTTGCTTGCAGTGCTGTCTTCTAAATGTACATGTACCTTATGTTAATTAAGGAATATAATCAGTGTTTTCATGAAGTGACAGAAAACCTAGAAAATTGATAATTTTTCGACCTAGAGGTTTTCCTGCAATTGTTGTACATTTGATTCAAAGAACATGTGGGCAGGTTCAGCGCAAAATATTTTTTCCTTTTATATTAATTGCAAACAAATGTTTAACAAAAAAGCTCGGTCTCTGTATTTGTATGTTTTCACTAAGTGACGAGAAGCCACCTTGTTTGCAGGGCAAAAATAGAGACTATACATGTACACTATTCTTCAGGAGCCACAATGCAAGTGTGTACGTACACATGAACAATGTTGAATGAAAACATGTGAGTGTAATGTAACAAAAGGTAACTTTTTTCATGTACATGTACGTATATTTTCACAAAATGAGAAAAAGTGTATACGATGTAATTGAAAAAACTTGAGATCTGTAGGTTTTGCTGTTTTCGCAAAGTGAAAAAAGTTCTTTAATGAATTACTGTTTAATTAAAACAAAATTTCTGCATGTAAGTGTGGATTAGTGGTTTTTTTCAAACCTTCGCATTTCATGACTTCAAAACATTTCTCATTTCGTAACAACAAAGTAGTTGAACTTTGTCTTGAAAGTGGAAGTATTTTCAAATATGTTTATCTTGGAGTGTTTTTTGGGGGGCAAGATATGGAGGTTTTTGTCACTTTGTGAAAACGCAGTCAATTTGTACGTAATTAGGCTTCTCCGTGACATGAATCCATGTTATCATTTGATTATATTGAGATAATATGTACGTGCACATACATGTACATGTATATTGAAAATGAATTATCCAAAGGTACATGTACATGTACCATTTCTCAACAAGCACTGTTTGATATGTGTGAGCCAAATTGTGTAAATACTGGCATAACTTCACCTAAAGTCATTATTAAGTTCTGAATTGATATGTTGCAACAGGTAGAATTTAACATTTGAAATACCTGTATTCAGGTCATGTTCTTGTTATCGTTGATTTTATATATGCTTAGATGGATTTGCTGTTTGCAAGATTGGCGCTTCAAATCATTCCTGAAGATCAGGATCTTACGGATGACAGCTTGCTGAAAAACTTAGATCCCAAATGTGTTAGAAGTTTAAATGGTAAGTCAGTTTACTACAGGTACATGCTAACTACCAACAAATAAAAAGAGAATTAATACAGCTAAAAACTCTTATTTCAGATGAATACAAATGCATTTTTGTGAATAAACGAAGTTACAGCTGTTGTGGTGAAAATGACAGCCATTAAATTTACTCTTCATTAAAAGCTAGTAATGTTGATTGCCACTCGGGAAACAAATGGGTTGTCAGCCTCTGCGATATTGTTTCACTGGAAAACAGTAGGAAATCATGTTGAGCATCCATGGTTGTACAGTGTAGTTTTAATACCTCATTACCCAGTTCTATGCAGGAATGAGCTGTGTTGTTGCTTGTTCCACACTGTAGGTGGTGGGGGACTTGGTGAAGAATAAGTTGGTTTGTAGGTATGCAGACACAGGCCTTGTGTAACATACATGTAGCTAACTCTTTGAAATTGTCATTTTTGGATTTTTAGAAGCTCTTTCTGACAGACAGGTTATCATCTGGGATTGACATTGGTACCATGAGGGCAGAAATAGTTGTGATTGGGGTTGATAATAATGAAAACCTTCCGGCATCAGAATTGTCAGATATCTTTGCTAACATCAGAAACTGACAATCTTTTGTAGAAGATGTCAGTTGGTGTCCTTGAAGTATGTGTGCTTGAATGCATACTATCAAAAATAAATATTGCATTAAGATAATTCCTGTATTCTTGTGAATTCACATTTTGTGTTCTTGATCTTGATTGGATGCAGGTTGTAGAGTCACTGATGAGATTCTTAATTTAGTACCAAACAAGGAGAATTTCAGATTAGCTCTGAGGGCTGTCAAACTGTGGGCCAAAAGTAAGTATGAGTCCAGTTTAGTTTTAGCACGGAGCTATTAAACATAAGGAGTTAGAACGAAGTCCCCGCAGACCGTAATCCGATTACAGTCCTTTTGTTTTAAGGCATGTGATTGCACTCCGACACCATCGCACGCCTAAAAGCTTCCCGAAAAGTGCAAATAATTGCATGCCTGAAACCATCCGTATCGCATTCCTTGGCATGAGTTTACTTAATAATTATACTCCGCAATTTTTGAGAAAAATGAAACAAAAAGAATCAAACATTAGGCCTACCTAACAGTTAGTGATGACAGAATCATTTTTTTTTCTCCCGGCTAAACAGTTGAGTGCAACAGCACTGTCAGTGTACAGTCGTTCGGCACACGCACTTCGCACAGTGCAGCAGCAGGCATTGTTGCATGCATAATGCAACATACACCAGACTGTACATGGCTTTACGTGTATCTACACGTCCTGATGTTTCCCAATAAACTTTTTTAGCATTGTGAACGGAAATAACTTACAGGAAAGAGATCTGGCAAAGAGAAACCTCAGGAAAAATTTAATGGAGAATTGGAGTGATCTTGTGGCTGGAGCTCTGCATGGTCCGTCAAGGCTGCTATTATGGAAAGGGCATGATTTATGGCCGTCATAAAACTTTGAATCATTTTACATGTATTGGACATGTCTGTTTGAGTTTGCTTGAAATAAGTGGGTGTGATCTTAGACTGTTGCACCGTTTTTTTTGTGGTTTTGTTGATTGTTTATATGTAATGTTGACCCAATATTTTGACTTTCTATTTTACTGTGTCTTGATTGACCCAAGGTTTTGATTCATTCTCCAACATCACACGCCTAGAAAAATTGCACGCCTGGAAATGTCCAGGAGTGTTTTTTTTACATGCCTGCTATTTCCAAATCACAAGGACTGTGATGAACCGCTCTGGTCAACTCCATAGATATTACCGGCTGCAGTGTTTACGACCTTAGACATTATTTGTACACAGCGATTGCCAGTGCTGGGTTGCTGGTAACCCACACACTTGCTGTGGTTTGCTGTGGCATACTGGAGTAAATAAATGGTGGAAAAGATACACACAGATCATGCATATTTCTCCACAGTAGTCCTTATGAGTCAGCGAGAGATCCCCCAGATGCGTTCGAAAATTCCAAATCAGGGGTTGGTTATGTGGTGAAAATCGGACATTTTTAAAGTCAGTTACGACATTTTGTGGTTCCTTTGGTAGAGAACATATACCCGAAATATGAACTGCAATTATTCTATCCTAATTCGTAATCCTAGTGGTTCCTACGGTTAAAAGAAGGTTGAAGCATGCCATAAGAATGCATTTGACAACATGGCAAGGTTTCATGCCAAGACATTTGTGGGCAGTGACTGAAAGGACGACGAAATCTTCCCATTTTTTGTGTGTTTTTTTCATTTTGGAGATTTTGTGTTTGTCAGTAATTCTATTTATTGTTGGGAGACGTTTTTGGGATGTAAAGACGAAACCGGGCTTTTATTATCATTGCAATATCAAATTAATCGCTAAAATGATTGAAGTTTAAGTCTCCCATGACAGTGGTTTCCGTCTCGATGGCAGCAATGGTGAACATGCGGAAGTACCCAAAATACTTTGCAAATCCAACTCCCAGCATTCCTTGTAGCCTTCAAGCGGTGCTTAATTTGATTTGTCCTTGCAGTGCTGGCGGTGGCCATCATTGACCCTTTTGATCCCTGTATGTGCTACTCCTTGTGTTTCATACATCAGTGGCTGATAACAGTTTGAGGTTAAATGTTGGGCTTTATGGGTTTGTGAGCAAAACTTTAGTTTCTTATCTGGAACTGTTCTAAGGATTCTGAGAAATTCCTCATTTTAAAATCAGAACTGTGAAGATTACACATTAGGGACGAAAACATCTGTTGTACTTAATACAGTGAAGATGTAGTTATGTAATACATGTACATGTATCTCAGTGTCTTGGAGTTACTGCTGTATAAAAAGAAATGTAAAATCGTTGCAAAAATGTACTGATGTTTCAATAGGACTCCAGATAAGAACTGTTCAAAATGAATGGACTACACAAAAATGGAGACAGTGATCAATTGACGGTAGTACTGTGCTGATTTGAAATTCCTTTCTGATTGTATTACAGAACGAGGGATATACTCCAATGCTTTAGGGTTCCTGGGTGGTGTTTCCTGGGCAATGCTTGTGGCAAGGACATGTCAGCTCTATCCTAATGCAGCACCTTCTACTATTGTACACAAGTTCTTTCTCGTTTTCACACAGTGGTATGATGATATTTCAGCAACTTACAATAAGCTGTAAAACAGTGTACATTAAAAGAACAAAAACAAACAAGCAAACAAATAATTGCAAGAGGAGTGCAAATAATCACAGTACACTGGTTCCTTTTAGCACCTGTGTGGGCTCAAGAATTGAGCAACTACAAGGAATTAGGTCAACCCAGCAGTTAGTGATGATGAGTCTTGCTCGCATGATGAACAAGAAGTTGGTCAGAATCACTGGTGCATTCAATCAGAATCCTGATTTCCACAGAACTGATCAAAACACCATCAGGCAACAATGTATATTTCATATATTACTAGTAATGCTGTAAAACATTTCTGAAATGTCCTCGCAGGCAGTGGCCCCAACCAGTATTATTGAAGCAACCAAAGCCAACTACAGACTTGGGCTTTACTGTTTGGGATCCTAGGGTAAGTCAGAGAGTTTGGAGAGATGAAAGTTAATGGAGGGAGGTGTAATAGCAGAAACTATGAAAACTTTGCAAGCATTTCCTAGTTATTCTAAGCTGCAGTTGTCAGTCACAGTCGTCAGGCATAGATTGCATACAAAATTTTTGCCTCTGGAGGATGACCCAGAGCATCCTGGTTGAAGCATAGAGTTCACACTAGCCGGTTCTTCCCAGAACTACTGCACTTCAAGAAGAGATTGATTACACAAGGTGTAGTCTCAAACCTGTCAGTATATTTTTGCCATAGACCACTATGTTGAGCACAGGTAAACAATATTGCCTTGGTGGTATAGAGTTAGTACACATGTACATATGTCCACATGCTCAATGCTGTTGTAACCAATAACATGTTAATAGCCTGACAAAATGGATGTGCTCCTCAAAATTGTGAACATAGTCAAACTGATAATGTCTTCTAAATGTAGACCCATCTTCCTGTTTCACGTCTTGAATTGCAAGCAATTGCTGATTTGGGCTTATTAATGTAATTATACAGGTCAACGTTCCAGATAGATTCCATCTAATGCCTATCATTACTCCAGCATATCCTCAGCAGAACTCTACATACAATGTTACCCTATCCACCAAGTTCATCATGGAACAGGAGATAAAAGGAGGTAATAAAATAATAAAATGGTTTGCATCAAATGTAAAAGAGCTATCTATCTTAACTTCAATAAAGTTATAGCAAAAACACGTAGAGTTCCACGTTCCACGTAGAGTGTTAGATCAAAATGAGTGCATCTTATAACATGTTGACTTGTGTAACTGTACAGGGCTGGCTATCACACAAGAGGTTCTTCAGGGCAAAGCAACCTGGGACAAGCTCTTTGAATCAATCAATTTCTTCCAAAAGTACAAGTAAGATGAGTTTGATACATGTATATGTTTTTTGTTCCAAACATGGGGAAATTGGGTATACATTGTACATGCATGTAGGTGCCTGTTCTTACATGCAATTTTTAATTTATAACTTAATCTATACAGTCTCAATAGTAAAATTTTCTTGATTGTTGTATGTGTCTGCTGTGGTACAGTGTACTTTGTATGCTCAAGAGGGAAGGTTGGCCCAGGCTGCCAATTGACCTTCAAAAATATAAGGATGTACAGAATAACTCACACAGCCTGTCAAATTAAGTCACAATATGTTTGTTGCACCTTGATATTATTTGTCAGAATGATATGTTAATCAATAAGAAGAAATTATTGGAGCAAATCAAGTAACATTTTAGCAATGATTACCCCAATTCCAATAGATACCCCTAAGCATTTTGTTTCTGAAATCCATTGTGTCTGAGCTGAGGTGCATGTGTTTGTTTTTCATTTGAGTACTTACATGTACCGGAGTATAGTATCCAGCAAGTAGGTCACCAGTTATCTTTGCACCCTTACAGCAAAACTGCCATAGATTCCAGGCGAAACAAAAGAGCAAAGCTTTGAAAAGAAAGGTCAACAATGATAGTTTCTCACAACAAAAACCTATATGTTATCAAGATTGGCTCATTGATATCTGCATGCCCCAGGGTACATCACTTAACCTATGCTCATAGCCTTTTTAAGCTTGTAAGCATTTAAGGCAGCAGGAAGGATAACATTAAAAAGGTTGGGACGGTCAAAGCGATGTCCTCAGTACCCAAGTAATATTCTCTGCAGGGTACATTTAGGGGTATAACATGAGATTCAGAAATACATGTACATCACTTCAACTGTTACCAAATAATGAAATTTCACGGTATAACACCCATGTATACATGGACATGTACATGAAGCTAGGAAAAATGTGGCGTTGTTGCCTCTTGCATGTTGTGTATCCAAACAGCTTTGGTCATTTTGCTGTCAGCTTCAAGAAATGTAAATTTTCCTGTTTGATCATTAACACTGATATTTCCTACAGGCATTATATTGTTCTCACAGCAAGTGCTGGCTCACTAGAACACCATCTGGAATGGTGAGTTATTGTACTGTCAGTGTCAAGTATTCTCCAAGTATGTGATTTGGATTAGCAGTTATGTTTATACAATATCATAATAGTAAAGTGCGGTTTATGTTTTATGTGAAGTTGATGCCAATTTTGAATCTCAGTTCTAGATAATCTGTGTTCATTTCAGAAAGTCAGACATATGTCAATTGATGTAGAGTCATTCCATGAGCTGAAATTTCAAACTCACTTTTGTGTCATTTTGCCCCCAAGTTTTGACACATTATTGACTGTGTTTTTCATGACTAGTAATACTTTTGCAATAACTTAGGCAGGCAGACAAGGAAATATTCAGGTATTATGCATCATGCAGTCGGTTGTGGATGTAACATGGGAACCACACAGAGTTTCAGCAAAGATAAATGAAGATTAATTTGTTATGTTTTAAATATCGGCAACTATCCCAACAAAAATAAAACAAAGGAGGGAATATACTAGGGGTGTGCATTTGCGGGTATTTTTAGAACCGGGTACCCGTTTTTTTTTAACATCGGGTACCC